CATCTCGCCAGGCCCTCCTGTTTTCCGCCGTCCTCTGAAGTTCATTATGCTGCATGGTAATTTACTGCTCACCCTCTACCTATACGTATGGACTGGTAACTTCCATTTCATTGTATGATCCGAAGAAGCATGTGTGCACACGAAAGCTTATATCTTGAATAAAAACTTTGTTGGTCTTAAAGGTGCCCCTGGACTCAAATTTTGTTCTATAAAATATAAAACGAGCCCTGGTTAGTATTGGGATGGGAAGCCACCAAGGAAGTCTAGGGTCGCTACACAGAGACAGGCAATGGCAAACTACCTCTGTTTCTCTCTTGCCCTAAAAACCCTACAAAGGTCACCAAAAGCTGGCTGTGACATGAAGGCACTTTACGCACAGGCATGCCTCATCTAATGTTTTAAACTAGGTTCACGGCCATGATCGGAGCAGAGGCTTGGCGGTCCCTATAGAGGAAGGTCCCTCTGACTTGGCCAGGCAGGAGGAGTCGCCAGAGCTCCTCGCCATTCCTCTGTAGGAAGAGGGTGTCCCGCTCCTATAACTTTTTGGCAGAGTAGAAGATCATCTTCTCGGGCCATTAAAGGAACACGGGGCTGAATCACAGGAGCAGGCTTCTGTCCGTGACCCTGAAGAGCTCCTTCCGGTGCCACCCTCGCATCAAAAGAAGTGTAACCTTCAGGGAAGGGGCCACAGCACAGCTCTGTTGTGGGCAGGGGTCATTTCCTGCGGGAGCGCACAGGAGCGGAGCTCCGGCAGTAAGGAGCCCAGGGGGCGGGCACATGCAACAAGCCCCACCCCCTGCTCCCAGCAGCCCTCAGTTGGGCCACGAGGAGCAAGAAGCAGCCAGGTAAGTTGCAGAGCCCCCCCCCCGGCCTGTCTTCAGGTACAAGCTCTCCCTCCTCTGTGAGGGCAGATCTGCACTCTCCCCTCCCCCCCAATAGCTAGCAATCCAAAACAGTCCAGTGGAGCCTGAGTGGTGGGTGTTGCCTTCTGACACACTTCCGGTAATGTCAGGGTGTGTGGCATATGCAAATAAGTTATGCTAATGAGCTCCTGCACCTCTTTTTCTACGAAATGACCCCTGGTTGTGGGACACCCGCCTTGCATACAGAAGGTCCCCAGTTCAGTCCCCGGCATCTCCAGTTAAAAGGGTCTTGGGCAGTGTTCCCTCTAAGCTGAGTTAGTGTGAGCCAGCTCACAGATTTTTAGCCTCCGGCTCACACCTTTTTGTCTCAGCTCAGGAAGGAGGGCTCCAGAGCAAACTAATTTATGCAGTAGCCAAATTGCTAGCTCACAACCTTAATGCCAGCAGCTCATAAAGTAGAATTTTTGCTCACGAGACTCCACAGCTTAGAGGGAGCATTGGTCTTGGGTATCATCAGGTGCTGTGAAAGACCTTCCCCTGCCGGAGTGTCGCTGTCAGTTGGACGAGGCAACACTTGCACTAGAAGGACAACAGTCCAATTTGGTATAAGGCAGTTCCTTATATGATCCTCCCCTCAGTTACGAGTAATCGACATTCTGGCGTTGGCAGCACTACCCAGGATAGAAACTTTATTGTGGAAATTCCATGTAGCACCATATGGAACCTGGACGACTATTAAATGAGGCTGGACTGAGAGATCAGGCAAGCACTGCAGGGCAAAACAACCACGTGACGTCTTCGTAACATGTTTCGGCCACTCAAACATCTGAACAGAGGAATATTTGGTGTGCCACACAAATTAGTTTCTGGCCAGATTTGGGGTGGACTCGGGAGTTGTAGGAGGTGCAAGTCATGAGGGGAGGGATCTTTCAGGCAACATTTCTCAATTTGTGATCTCTCGGTGTGTTTTTTCCCCCCTTGAGTGCTTCCAAATGGCCATATATGTCAGACAACTGGATTCCACACGCATGTTCATCAGGGGGCAGTCGAATGTGACGAACTGCCTCCGTGCCAGGATCCATCCCTTCTTTTGCCCTAATTCCTCACAGAAATCCAGCACCCCTCCGGCACCTATAGGTATGCAAATGGATGGTGGTGGTTTGGAAAGACCCACACACTGATCAGTCTTCCAGAGCCAGCAAGGAACTACCGGGAATAGCTGCCGATTTGGGCCTTCTGCCATATCCGCATTGGACAAAGTGGACTGTGAAGGAAGACACACACACACACCCCCGTGGGTCACTCACAGACAAGATGAGGGACACCACAGGCATCGCCGAAGAAATGAGCTGATGCAAGCCCCACGGCAGGCACCCCACAGGCCCACTGGGGCAGCTGCAGGATTCCTCCTGGCAGCTGAGCACAGCAGGGGGAAGGAAATGAGACACTCGTTTGGCTGGCGGAGAGCAACTGCAGGCTCCGATCAAGAAACGAGCCCGGGGCCAGGAGGGAGACCTGGCTAGCTGCACAGCCCCCCATTTCCAGCCGGACCTGGCTTCCCCTGGCACAGCTCCCGTTACGGGATTCAAGCTGGCTTTCATTTACCCGAACGCCGTGTGGAAACTCCTCTCCCCTGAGGGAGTCTCCTAAGGCCAAGGAGCCTAGTTCCTCATCTTTATTCCGCAGGACTAAGTCTGCCCCCGGTTTTCCCTAAAGCAACATAGGCACTGTTACTTCCCAAAGTGGGAAAGGGCCCAGTGCTCAGGGCTGCTGCCTCCAAAGGCAAACAGCAGAAACTTGGGGTGGAGCAGGGAAGCCCTCTATCCAGGAAGGTTGATAGGAAGCCCTCTCAGTTGTGGACTTGCTGTGGAAATGCCATGCCGAACGTGCAGAAAGTGGATCCCAGACGCAGACATGCTGAGCCGACCACACCCGACGCAGTCAGTGTCTGGGCAGTGATAATAACAGGTGTTTCACGCCAGGCCCAGAAGGGGCCACTTACCTCTGCCCGAAATCTATTACAGCTGCTGATACCACAAACAGAAACACACTGGGGTTGTGGCTGTCAAGTTCAGCGATAAAACTGGTGAAGTCAGCTAGCTCCCCAGGAAAGGGTGAGGGTTCCGCCTCACAGCTGTTTAGATTCTGCCCTCTAGTGTCCATTAGGAGATTTGCAAGAAATGAAATTTTATACCCGCTCCTTGGACAGCAGATGGTTCCTAGGTACTAAAACACACAGGACACCTGGCTGGGCACTCAGGGTGGCTAAGGACGTCAGATTAACCCAACTGGTCAACCCCCTGCTTCAAAACTTAACTAGTACTGGATGGTTTGGGACAGCAGCGTTGAGATTACTCCCCTCCTAGTCAGTGTTCCCTCTAAGCTGAGTTAGTGTGAGCTGGCTCACAGTTTTCTAGCCTCCGGTTCACACATTTTTGTCTTAGCTCAGGGAGGATGGCTCCGGAGTAAACTAATTTATGCAACAGCCAAATTGCTCGCTCACAACTTCAATGCCAGTAGCTCACAAAGTGGAATTTTTGCTCACAAGACTCCACATCTTAGAGGGAGCATTGCTCCTAGTTATTTCTAGATTTTGGCAGACTTGAGATTCTGGGCAAGGCCTAGAAACTGGATGGCATCCTGAGCTTTGTGATTTATGGCAGGTCACCTCAGATACACTGAATGTAAGAGGCTACTTTATACAGAGTCACACTGTTGTGTTTGTCTCAGTCAACATTGTCTACACAGACATTGGCCAAGGGTCTTCAGGATATCAAGCGAAAGACCGGCCCAGCTCCACCACTAGAGAGCCCTTTAATTAGAAAATGCCTGGTGAACCTGGAGCCTTTTGATGTGCAAAGCAGTGTAGCAACACCCTTTGAGCTACGGTCCCCTGGCTCTTAACTGGTGCAATTTTACACATGCCGATAACATCTTGGGAACTGTTCCCAATGAAAGATTTAACAAGCTGAAAGCAGCAACGGTTTAGAGAAGGATTCGAGAACACCACCTGCCCCTGCAGAGGTGTCGCACTCAAACTCTAACAAGGGGCACTTTCGCACATGCTAAATAATGCAGTTTCGATCCACTTCAGTGGCCGTTTCCAAGTGGGTTTTGCCGTTTCACGCAGTAAAATCCAGTTACAAATAATGCTCCCCCTAGTTTTTTCCCCTACTGAGCAATTCACATTCTGAGCAGAATATCACTGCTGTAATCTTAAAACGGGCAATGGGCCGTGCAAGACCCTGTGCCGGTCCAGACTGGGGCAGAGCAGGGCTTCCTGTGTTAATGAGCGGCCACTCACGCGCACAGCTTAGCGGGAACACTGGTTGCAAAGTGCATGGAACGTGGATGGAGAGTGAGTGCATGTGAAAGTGGCAAGATAAGTTGGGCTTCCAGAAAGACCAAACCCTCCCCCCACTCTTTACCCACATAAGAGGCAGAGACAGAAAAAGAAGATGGGGAAAGATTTAGCAAAGAGGATAGAAAAAAATACTCATTGTGCCCACAGCTGTCCAGGGAGCCTCACAGGCGTCAAGGGTTTGAGAATACTGTTGCACAGAGAATGGGAAAGCAGTCAGGAAAGGCTGCGAACTTTCCACACCGGAGGGAAACGGACCTTATTTGCAACCCCGAATCCAGTATTAGCACAAGATGTTCCTCTTCTCGGGACCTCCGTTAGCGCCAATCTATCATGCGCACAAGGAGCCTCATGCTACCGAGAGAACATGCGAAAGGGAAGATGCCCAAAGCGACTGGCCCTGACCTTTGAGAACCGAGGTGGAAGTTCTGCTGCCGGGCCGGCTTTTAACAACAAACCTGCATTGCAAGGAGGAAATGAGCCACGGTGGAGGAGAGAATGCTTGCAGGAGAGCAATGCGCTTTGCACCTTCCCCTTGCGGATAAGCGGGGAGACAGACAAATGGAGAAAGGTTCTGAGAACAGGGTGAAAGGGATGGAGAATTGGCACTTTTTCCAAACACCACCCCCCCTCCAGACACACACACACCCACCAAGGATGTGATGCAGCTGCTTCTGGCACCCCAGGGGAATGGATCAGGTTACGCACAGGATGCCATTTTGCTTCTGGGAAGGTCTGGCAGAGATAAGAGTCGAAGCACCGACAAGACTCAGCCCAAAAACATTATTTCTCCACTTCTTTGATACACAGCACTTGAGGGAAGACTCATGCCCCGGGGCAGCTATTGACCCAAAGGCGTTTGTGTCTCTGCTGCGGGAGCCAGAAAAGTAACAGAACGCACACACCCCAGCCTGCAATAAGAGGGCAGGCACGGAGGAGTCAAGGCCTGCAAGCAAGATAGATCACTCGTTTTTAAATCCTCGGACACAAATATATTTGGGAGAGTGAGCACCTTATACCCCCCCCTTGCTTTTCCCCTTGGATGTTGGGGGAGGGGGGGGCTATGCTGCAGTTGTACTGGTGCTTGTGTCCCATACGTGGAAGTCCTGGTCGTCCACGTGCCGTTTGCTGGAGCATTTTCTGTGAGGGGGTTCAGAGGATTCACCAGACCAGGAGGAGTTGGGGACGGGCAGCTCCCCGCTGCTCGTGCTCACAAACACGGTGGGGACCTGAAAGGACAGTTCCAGCTCCTCGTCCTCCGGTGGCGGTGCAGATGGCGGCCAGTTCCTCCTCTTGGCTTTGCACCCAGAGTTCTGGCGCTCCTCTCCTCCCCCTTGGGAAGGGGCTCCGGGGACCGGGAGGTGCCGAGCGCCACTCAGGTGGCTCTTGGAAGCTCCGTTAGGGGCACTGCTTCCCAGGCGGGTCTGGGCCACGGGGATCTCGTCCATGGATTCGGCCGACTCGGAATGGTAATCGGCTGGAGGGCCTGCCGCCTGGACCGGACCGCTGCTGCCTGGGGGCGTGGCTACTTGGGGAGGGAGAGCTGGGATGGGGAGGCGAAGGCTGGAGGCTGAGGAGGCTGAGGAGGTGGCGGCCGTGGCTGTCAGTTCTGCCAATGAAAAAGGAGGAAGGAGGCGTCAGAGCCTACAGAATCACTGAATCATAGAGTTGGAAGGTACCTCCAGGGTCATCTAGTCCAACCCCCCTGCACAATGCCGAAAGATGCCCAAGAGCAGAAGGAATGGAGCTTTCTCCGAAGCATCTGGAATGCAAAATTACTATAAATAGGATGGTTTGCAGAAAGAAAGGAGCTGGAGCCAGGAGCGCTTTTCAGCCAAATCTAGAAGACGCCTTTTGGTCAGCTGATGGTCACGCCCGCCTACAAGGACCTGTATCCTTTCCGCATGCCCCACATCAGAGACTGCACAGTCTTGCAGGCGACTGGAAGGGAGTGGCTCCCCCTGTACCCCTCTGGCCTGGAAAGGAACCCTGTGGCCCTCCAGTCTGCCAGAGAGCTGGAACTTGGAATGTCTCCTCCCCCTCCCCACCTTACCTTGCTGTAAAACTGGAAGAGAAGACCAGGGGGCGACCATCGCCTTGGACCTTTCCTCTGCCAGAGAAGAGGGCTCCTTGTGCCTCTTCCTCTTCTTCCTCTTCTTCTTCTGAAATCACACAGCCAGACAAAGCAGCGCCAAGTTAGGTAGTGCAACAACAGTCGGTCGTCACTTCCTTTCATTTTAAGAAGAGACGGAGAGGACACTGGATATCACCTTAGGGGAGCAGTCCTCACAGTGAGATCTGCAGACCCGCAGGTGTTTTCAAGGGAACTCCAAGGGGCCTGCAAGTCCTATCTGACCACCTGGATGGAATGGAGGCCAGCCAACTTTCTCTGGACAGATGGGGAGGGCGGAGCCCGTCGGCTTCAGGGCACTGTCTGCTGTGGGAGACAGCAGCGACGCTTGGACAAAAGCACCTGGGATGGCGGATCAGGAGTTCTCCCGCCTCCCATGAGAATCTCTGTGGGATGTGCACAGCTTGCTGCAAACACTTTCAACAAGTCTCCCGGATGACATCAGGGCCCTGCGGGGCGATTTTCAACAAGACTCCCGGATGACATCAGGGCCCTACGGAGCTTGTTACAATTCCACAGGGCCTGCAAGATGCAGCTCTTCCACCAGGCATCTGACCACACTGGCCACATTTAACCTCTGGTACATCTGGTACAACTGGTGTACCTCGTCATAACATCTAAGCCTTCCCTGGGACTTTGCATCATCCTTGTTGCACTGACTGACTCCTGTTACAAAATATCGGATGTGGCAATATCGGAACACGTTTGCCACGGCATAGGAAAACTTGAATGGATAGCACTTTGGTTTTACATTGGTTTTAAAATGTTCTAAAACTCTGTTTTAAAATTTTACGTAAGCCACCCTGAGCCTGCTTTGGCGGGGAGGGTGGGGTATGAATCCAATAAATAAATAAGACTGTGAGGTGTCCGAGGAGGACACACCCTGCCTTCCACCCGGCCAGACGAGAAGCGGTGGCAGAGAGGAGAAAGGAGGAACCTGTGGCAGAGAAACCCCCCCCCCCAGGTCTGAAGCAAAGCAGCTGGCTGGCATGTAGGGGGAGGGAGGTCTGTAGCATTTTAAAAATCAACGTAGGGTCCCCCTCTGGCTGCTCAAGTTTGAGAACGGCGACTCTAAAGAGTGACAACAGATCAAACTGCAGCCGGGGATCACTCCATTTTCTAGAACAAAAAGAAAAAACAGACAATCTCTTCTCAGACTGACAAGAGATGATTGCCTTCTTAAAGGAGCAACAACGGCCACTCTCCAAAGCCTTGGAGCAACTCTGCCTGAAGGGCATCCGGAATCCCACTTGTTGGACAGCTGCCCGAAGCATTAACTCGGTCCTTCAGCCAATGGAAGCAACCAAGCAGAAGGATCGTTCACCACAGGTTAGATCTTAAAGGAGAGCGCACACGCATCTGACGAGTGCATCTGTCCGAGGGGGCGACTGCAGAGGAGACTAGAAGGGTCTTGTGGCTCCCACATTTCTACCATTCTACAGAATTTGTAAAATTCTGTAAAAAAAAGGGCTTTTTAAAACAGAAATAGGGCTGTAGTGGAACAGAATGGTCCAGGGGAGTGCATACATAAAAGGAATGGGATTGTAGTCTATGGCCCTGTTTATTGTATGCAGGGGTCATTTCATAGAAAAAGAGGCGCAGGAGCTCATTAGCATAACTTATTAGCATAAGTTATTTGCATATGCCATGCCCCCTGACGTCACCAGAGGTGTGTCAGAAGGCAACACCCACCGCTCAGGCTCCACTGGACTGTTTTGGATTGCTAACTATTGGGGGGGATGTGCAGATCTGTCCTCGCAGAGGAGGGAGAGCTTGTACCTGAATAAAACTTGGTCTTAAAGGTGCCACTGGACTGTTTTGGACCAGGGGGCTGGGGGGGGGGGCCCTGCAGCTTACCTGGCTGCTTCTTGCTCTGACTGAGGGCTGCTGGGAGCAGGGGGTGGGGCTTGTTGCATGTGCCCGGCCCCTGGGCTCTTTACTGCCGGAGCTCCGCTCCTGTGAGCTCCTGCAGGAAATGACCCCTGGTTTTGTTTAAAACTTTCTAGTTTTAAACTAACTAGAACAACTAACTGGTTGTTCACTTTGATTGTATTCTCTTATGATAGTTTTTGAAATGTTTCTGTGGTGTCCTTCTTATGTATTTTCATACTCTTACTGCATAGTCTTCTACTTATGGAATTCTATTATCTATATTTTTTATAATACGTCATGTATTAATGTGCTCTTATCCCACCTGCACTGCTTTCTAATTTTGTAATCCTACTCCTATTGCCCTGCTCATTGTATGTCTTACAACATTTTACTGCATTTTTAATGTCTTATAATCCACCTCGCGTTTCAGCAAGAAAGACAGGCTACAAATGAAGGAGATAAAGTAAGTTCATAAACCTATGGTCTGGTGGTGGGGTGCCGTAGCACTGGGTGTTCACACCTGAGGTCAGAATTCACAGCTGTGCCCTCACTCACCTGTGGCGGGATTCCGACTTGCGTCTCTGACGGTTCAGGGGACAGGATGAACTTAGAGTCTGAGCCATCGTTGCGCATGCAGAACTTTGGTAGGCTGGAAACGAAATTATCTCTGTTGGTTTTCTCACAGACTTTTAGACCCCGTGTGGCCAGGGATATCCCTCTCCCAACAGTATATCCCCAGCACATGTTCTGGTGCTTTCAGTAGGTGCTACTACTCAGCGGAATAAACTCAGTTTATGGAACTTCCCCTTACAGGAGGAGCTCAAACAAGAAATAATACATGCAAAAGAGGAGCAAAGCATAGAAGTCTAGATTAAGAGCCACATTGTGGGTTCTCAGTCCAAGAGGCCGTACCCTCTTCTCTGCAGAGAGTTTCTATTAACAAGGAAGCAGGATTTTGATCTGTTTTGTGGCCTGGCATGCAGGGGGAAAATAAGGAGCCGCTACCCCCATACTAAAGCCCATCAGTAAAGGTAAAGGTTTCCCTTGCTCGAAAGCCAGTCGAATGCGACTCTAGGGGGCAGTGCTCATCTCCAAGCCGAAAAGCCAGCGTTGTCCAAAGAGTTCTCCGTGGTCGTGTGGCCGGCATGACTAAACACCGAGTCACATGGGATGCTGTTACCTTCCCACTGAAGCGGTACCTATTTATCTACTTGCAATTTCTTGCTTTCGTACTGCCAGGCTGGCAGGAGCTGGGGCCTGTCCCGTCCCTCCCAGTGAGCAATCCCTTGCAAAAAGGGCCGGTGGTGGGCTACCCCGCGAGTGGAAGACAAACCCCCTCCAGGGAGTTCGGAACCCCTAGGGCAGCAAGGTGGGACCGGGCCTGCAGGCCAGAGCAGGACCATCCTACCACAGCTAGCAAAATCGAATTAAAATAGTTTTATCTTGCACCAATACCATTATCTCAATAAGGCTGCAGAACGATACCTTAATCCCTGTTTTCAAGTGGTTCTATGACAGATTATAAGGAAAGAATCTATGAACTACCTTCAGCAAACCGTTTTGCTCTCAGCTTCAGACACTTTCCCCTACCTACTGCAAGGATTACGATAACACTGGCCCACTTTGGCAGGGTGTTGTGAGGATTGCTCAGGGAGAGTGCAAACTGTTTAGAGAACTAAGCAGAAGTGTGCTACATACTAAGTGTCATAACCCATTTTTAAAAGGGGGGGGGAGTTATGAAGTCAATCAACCCTTTTACAGCAGTTATAGCTTGGAAGAACTGTTTGGATTTCTTTGGACCAAACAAAAAATGCCTTCGCGACAGTTCATATATACTGCACAGACAGGGAAACATCTCTTACGGTCCCATTCACACCATCAGCTAACACCTTTCAATTTGTCAGTCAAGAGAAAATCAGTGTGAAAAGAAAACAAGGAAGAGACATGTGGCACTCTAAAGGCTCACTAAAGTATCGAGGCATCAGCTTCTGTGACCCACGTTGGTAGATGCACAAAGTGTTACATTTAGAAGGGCAAAGTACACAGAGTTAAAATGAATGCTATAATTCCCAGAGCAACTTCATGCAGATATGTGCTTTTATATCCATGACAACAACCGGATGACGAAGCAAATTACATGAACACCATTTAGTTTGCTTTACTTACTCTTTCCCAGAGGCTAATCCTGAATCCTCCCTCGGAACTTCAGGGTTGGTATATCCAAGACTCCCTGCGTAAAACTGCATTTCCTAAAACATACAAAGAAATGCTCAGGGCGTCAGGGAGGCAACTGCCAAACCGGGAATATTTTCTCAGATTTTGTAACTGATCCTGTTTTCAGCATGGATATTCTCAACTTGTTCCCAAGTAAGGACTGGGCCAGGAAAGAGGAAACACAAGACCCTCACTTTCAAGAGCCTCTCCCACGGAGAACCTGATTTTCCAGAGCTATACATTTTGCCACTAGATGACAGACCTCGTTATTTGTACAGTGAAGCTGTTCACCTTGACGGTACAGTTGGACCACAAGTCCATGAAATAAACAGAGATTCAGATGTAAGCAGACTGGCCCATGTGAAAATGCTGAACAAACACCAGTCCCTTTATAGGGGACGGAAGACAAAACCACGAGCTTCACCTGGATGCGCCTCACTTGGGGAGGGCAGGATTCCAGCTGCTTGTCGGGCTCCTTCATCTCCCGGGGTGGGCGCTGCTGCACAATGTATTCATAGGTAGTCATTCGGTGCCAAACTAGGGAGGTAAGGAAGGGAGAGAGGTGAACTGGAAGAAGGGGGAAATCTGCCTGTGCAGAATACAGCTTGCTTTGGTGGAAGAACTCAATAACAACAGCAGTTCTCATACTGGGGTTAGGGGTTAACATATCTGCATTGCTAAATAATGAGGCAGATATGCTCATGTGAATGCTGCACGCAAATCCCCCCCCCACCCCCCCCCCCCCCATCCAGACACAATACTCTTTGGAGAGGGCCAACAGGTACAAACACCCAGCCGGACAACCCAAAATCTGAGCTCCAGAACTCTTTAGCTGTCTTGATTCAAAAGAAAAATAGTGGAAATCTGGTCCACACAAGTGGGGGCAGGGGGGCACAGAAGCACTGCCCCAGGGGTCTTTGGATTCCCGTATATGCCCCGTGGTTTCCTGTTCAGCAGATTCTATTGCATCAGGGAGCTGACGACCACAGAGCAGCCCCACTCCCTCACTCTGCCTATCCAGTGTCTCTTTCCCCCACTCCTGCCATACAAG